TACCTACATTCCACAACATTGCTAAGACCTTCACGGTGTTTCTTGCTGAAAACGTGATCAAAAGGATTCGTATCGTACGCTTTCTACAGAGAGGTAGTGTAATCTCATTTGTTGGTACCTTTGCAGTACCAGTGCAGTTTTCGATTCTGCATGATTTGAGTTCTCTAGATAGTCGATATTTCTAAGCTTTCACCAATCTATTTGCTAGCCATTCAAAAATAACTATGGGGTGAGATGGCCGGTCAGAGCGCGAATTTACTGACCAGAAGGCCCGTGGTTCGAACCCGACCTCTGCTTCTCGACTTGCCCTGTCCAGGCTTGGGCAACCTGGCAGTATCTAAGCCCTCGTGCTTCCTTCGGGTGGCATGGCAGCTAAGCACCGGAAGGGTGCTGCAGCTAAACATTTTTTTTCAAACACAAAAACACACCACGCTCTTCTCGCGTGTTTGCCGTGTGGCACGCCCATGGCTTGGCTCTAGGAAGACCGAAAGTTGATTCCAGCGCTTCTCCATCTGATGTGTACACATCAGAATACTTGCACTGGCATGGCAGAGGAACTGTCCAAGTGAGGGGGGTCTGAGCATGGGTGTGTAAATAGTAATGAGAAAGAGAATTTATCAAAATACATCAATCTTGTGTACAAATGGAAACCCTTCTCGGGTTGTTTTACTCTATCAGTAGGTGGTGTGAATGAAATATTGTGGTAGGCAATACTGTGTGCGAATTTATGACCAAACAATCGGAAAAATCAGTTTAGGGGTGCGCTTGTTGACTTGAAGGCAAGTGCAACTCTCTGCCGATAAATCGGGATCAATGTGACAGGGAACAACTCTTCTTCATTGATTCCCCTTGAGTAAGACAATAGCTACTTGGGAAACCGCGTTTCTCTTCCATTTTGATTCTGAGGTTTTCTCACNATTTATACCCTGGAATGCAGAACAACTCGTTCAAGTAATCCATATGATTGGTCAGTGGAGAACGATTCATTTGAATGCAAACTACTGTCGTTGCGTAGCCGTAGTGCTTGGGCCTGTCAGACGGAGAATCAGGTTTTGAGACGCATTCGGCAGATTCCTACACAAGAAGTCTTAAATCTGTTCTATCCAGGTAGCAAAAGATTCCGTCACGTAGAACCATTGGATTGGGCTTCTCTGTGAAGCATTTTTGGAAATTGAGGCAAGCTGATTTCTGGCCAAAATGTGACCAGCTGATGTGACTTAAGGGTGAGTGGGACTAAATGCTGTCTAGACACGAAGTAATCAATCAGCTGATCAGTCACGTGAGACACAACGGTTAAGGGTTCAAGCTCCTAAAAGGCGGATCAATGGTTTAGATCTCCCCGGATTTTCGTGCTGATGACACTCAGTACTTCGCAGCTTTTCAACATAGACCTACTTTGATTAGAGAGCAAAGTCTCATTTGAGGACCTCCTTATATTATCGACGATTTCCCATAGGCCTGTACCCTATTGTATTCATCACCACAAGGCCTACTCTATCTAAGCCTGTTGATGAGATAGTAGATAACACTTCCGGAAGGGCACTCGATTCCAGGTGGAAGAATGCCAAAAAGCAAACAACCAGTCATCTCTGAGTAGCTCTTAGTTTACATCAATTACCAATTCAATACCAATTCAAAGCAATTAGCTGCGAACTCGCTGAAACCAGCAGTTGCTTACCAAGTTACGCGAACATTTGCGGTTAATATCTGAAGACACTCAATGTCTTCCGCCTATAGAAGCGTCGGGTCTATAAACCGTAAATTGAAAGACTGAACTCTGATCACCTCGGTAAAATCGTTTTTGGTATAAATCAACATTTACTGCATCCACCGCTGACTACCATCGTACCATTTTTTGCAAGCAACATAGTGTGAATGCTATGTGAGAGTGCATTATTCGTTACATTCGTCGGACTGGTTTGACCTAGGCGTGGGATTCTCCCGTGGTCTGAGTCACGTGAACCCCAGGTCATAGTTCTTCGGTGCCACGTGATACTGTCAATTTGGTATATTAAGCGGAAGACAATAACCGCTGTCTACCAATGTGGTTGACCCCATTTCGGGACTCCGCGCCCCAATCGGTAATCAAACATGAACCACGCACCCGAGGATCTGATGGCGCGGGGCTTTCTCTAGCCAAGTTGAAGAACCTCTCATGTTACATCGATGTTAGTCCGAAGCAGCAGTCTACCAGATTCACTACTACTTGGGAGTGCAGTACTCATTCGCGCGACATCCTATTGTACACCTTTCGCTCATCTGCAAGTTGAAGACCTCTCATGTTACATCGATGTTAGTCCGAAGCAGCAGTCTACCAGATTCACTACTACTTGGGAGTGCAGTACTCATTCGCGCGACATCCTATTGTACACCTTTCGCTCATCTGTGAGAATGGTATTACAACCAAGCAATCTCGCTCGTCTGACTTGAACGTAACCATCCATAGGGTATGCGGAATGCTCATTGGTGCGATTAGCTGAGAGTGAGTGCATGTGTGCCGGGTTCATGACCAGCCGCTAAGCTCACTACAAAATGTACGCCAGTACTGCAAATGGACATTGCTCTGAGATGACTAATTTCGCTGGATTTGTGGAGAGAAAAGGCTAAATAAGACAGGAGGAGTCACGGCTCTTAGGAGTTCAATGCAAACTTGATAATGGGTGGATCGATCGAACTGCTAAAGTGCGTCTTTTGAACCTGTTTGTGCTTTCTCACGGGAAAAAGGAAGAAATTCATCCAATCTAAACAAATGTTGTAACAATGAGAATCTCTGACGCGGCTAAAGTTCGTATAAATGAGGCTGGCGTCTGGATGATGTTCCACTTTAGCGGGATAATTTCTATTCAGGACAACACAGCCTAAGATGTTTACGAATGATGCGCACGTAATAAACCTTGATTAACGAGATTACTTCAATTTTTTTTCACAGGAAACCGGGTAGTGACGGCGAACTCACATTTGGCCTTGGTCCAGACCACCAATTCCAGGGTAACATGGTATTCATGGATGTGACAGCGAAGTATGC